CTGCTGCTGCTGCTGCTGCTGCTGCTGCTGCTGCTGCTGCTGCTGCTTTTTGTGGATGTAAATAACCACAGAATTGGAGGCGAGAAGCCGTTTAAAATGTGAAACTGATGACCCGCTCAGACTAGCTGTTAGCTAACCTGTTTCTCCAAACTGCTCTGGTGCTATCTGCAGCAGGTAAGATACTGATTGTTCACATGTTCACTTGTGTGACAGAGACAAACTTAACATAAATCAAACCTATTTTTTTAATTTAATTGTCTCGTTTCGCTCTGAATCGAGTCCTAGTTTGAGTTTTAAGGAAATTTTCAATCAAATCCGTTAAAATGATCCTTAGTTCTGTAAAATATTCACTTTCACCGCAGGAATGCAACGATTTAATTTAGATCAAAACGTGAATCCATTCAAATAAAATCGAACCAATGAAACTCCGCCCCCTTTAATAAAACAAAGGATGCTGCAGCACTCGCCCCGTCCTGAAAACAAACGTTGCACTGATATATTTAAATAAAAAATGTGTTTATGATGCTGATTTATGAAGAGAGGATAAAGTGTTATTGTTTGTTTTAACGTGGTTTCTGAAAACCAGGTAAATGTACAATTTACAGAAATGTTTTTCATTCTTGAAAAATCTTATATATTGAAGCGTAACGGTTTTATTTCTCTGTCTGATATTATCACCTCGTGTTTTTCGTACCGTCTCTGATGTACGTGCCATTGTTTCAGGATTTTATTTGTAAGACGGAGAAAAAAAACAATTATTTTCTGTAACGTTTCTGTAATTTTGTTGTCTCAAAAACAAAAATAACAACAAAAAAAAGGAAATAAGGAAGTAAAGAGTGTTGGAAAGCAGTGAGGCCTTATGTGACTAAAAGTATTGTTTGTACTTTCAGAACCAGAACTCGTTCATCTGTTGTCTGACGTTCATCGATGACTATTACATTCCAAAGAATTGGATCAAATAAATGTTTTGGATAATAAAACAGATCTGTCCGGCTGCTTTTTTTTAAATGTTTAAATGACACGTTTAAAGGGTGAATCCACAAAATTAACAAGCCTTCCTCGAAAGATTAGCCTTTTTTTTTAAAGTAGCGTTAGCAAAATATCTAAACTGCTACACACAGCTGACCGACTTCTGCAGTTAATCTAATTAAAGATGGCCGCCACAAAGACGCGACTGCAGAAACTTGGTGTGGTAGTAGCCGAGAGTCATTCCTAACGTTTACTCAGAGCTGGTAACTGTTGTCTGTTAGCAAAATATCTCATAAACCACTGGACGGATTTTAACGAAACGCTCAGAAATTAATCGCTGGGTGTTCGTCTGTAACGCACAAACAGAACCTGGAACTGTTTAATTTATTTTCTAACATTTAAACTCCTGCTTCTTTTTACACCAGAGCTCGTTTAAATGTTTTTCTTTATCTGATCAGGTCGTGATAAATCTGATTATTTTCTCATTTAACTCTGAAAAAGAATGAAAGTTTTAGGGTCGGCAACATTTTTGAGCCTCTTAATAAATTTTAAAAACCTTCTACGGTGATTATCAGCTGGTGGTTTGTGGACGAGGACCATCTGTCCAGTCAGGGTGACGTCATAAACCTAGAAATATTTCATGAGTTTTAAAATTTATTAATGTTTTTTTACTTTTCAGGACAAAAGAAACGACCATATTCATGTAAAGAAGGAACCTTTTTTTTTTTTAATACTGATTTTGATAATAAAAAAATAAAAACACTGAACTCCGAGTGAATTCTTTTATCTGAAGAAAAACACGATTGTTATAAGTGAAATGTTAATAATTGTGTTGAAGTAATAGAGCATAAATTTAAAGTGCGTATTAAAATATGTTGTGAATTTTTAGTGTTTTGTTTTTTATTTACTTTGACTTAAAATATGTTTAGTTTTTTCAGGTTATCAAATTGGCACCCCATTTCTTCTTGGCGACTCGTCCTAAAACATTCCAGAGAATTCCCAGTGGATTTGAGAGAAAAATTCCCTCGTTAGTCTGGAAGTTGGATCAGTGAAGCGGCTAAATCCAATTAACGTGTTTTGGTTCTTGAAGAATCGTTCCCATTTGTTTTAGAGAAGTCACAAAAATAAATAAATAAATAAAACTAGCATGTAGGTATTAAAAGCAATCGAACTGAATTTCATGTTATCCACATGTGGCCCTGGAGCCACAGATTGAAGACCCCTGATTATTTGCTGCTTGTTGTGTTGTAGATTCTCCACCAGGGGGCGGTGTTCCCCACAGTTTATCCTTCCACCCACTGAAGCTCTCACAGGTGCTGATCTTTAGGTAAACTCCAGCCCACTGGGTTCAGTTTGGGTCCAGTTTCTGATCCCTGAACCACTTTCCTGTGGGGTTTTTCAGCCTCTGCTCATCCAAGAAACACCCAGAACTTTGTGGATTGTTTCTGAAGACGCAACAACTCTCCCTCCTGCTTGAATTGCTGATGAACATTCAGGTATCTCCTCTTTTTATGCTCCTCTCCACGCTCCAGCTGTTGGTCTGAACCCATCAGGTTATAAAATGTTTTCTCAGATGTGAATTTGACACCGACCGGCACTCGGATGTCTCTGGACGGGTTATGTGTGGGGTGAAGACGTGGACATCATGTCTCATGTGGACAGCTGGACACGTCAGCTGCTGCGTTCTCAAGTTAAAGTTAACTCCTTACTCAAAGAAGGCTCCTTGAATCATTTGCAGTCCAAATAGTTGGTGACTTTCTTCTTTGCTTTAGTGTAATTATAACTAATTACTTTAGATTTAAATCTAAATCTGTAGTGGTTTTTTTTTTTTTGCTTAATTTTAGCTAAATTTCTGATCATTTTTACATCATTTATTTATGATAAATTTCTTCAAGTTTTAGGTTCAGATCTTTTGAAGTTTGTTCTGAGGACAGATTAGGAGCAGTGAATGTCTTACCTGTTGTACACGGCACTTTCAGATTGAACAAATAATTTAAACCTGGTTGGATTGACGAGCTAACGGTTAATTTGACAGGCGCTAGGAATGAAGTAGATCGCCACTCTTTTAAAACAACTCTAATCTACAAAATCCCATGGTGGTTTGTGTTACTGGTCATTTAAAAACCACGTTGAAGATAAGTTTGAGCTACAGTTAGTCCAGCAGAACTAACAAAATCCAGTTCTGAAAATGGTTCTGTTGCCAAAGGTCATTTAAAATGGACTGAGGTGAAGTGGAGAACTGTTCTGAGGTCAGATATGGACACCATGTCCTTCGTACTAAAGATGAGATGGATCAGCCAGTTGTCATCAACATGCAGTTCAAAGGCCAGCTTCTCTGATGGTATGGGGATGCATTCGAGTCTCTAGCATGGGCGGCTTGCACACCTGGAAAGGCAAGGCAAGTCAAATTTCTTCATAAAGCACATTTAAGAGCAACAGGTTGTTACCAAAGTGTTGAACAATAAAAGACAAAGGCGGAGATTTAAAGAAAAAAACGAATAAACACAAAACACCGAACAATAAAACAAATCACATTTGGTTACAAATCAGTGAAAACAGACGTGTTTTTAAAAGAGATTTAAAAACAGGAAGTGAAGAGCTCAGATGTTGCGGGGGCAGATTGATCCAACGTTTAGGAGCCACGACTGAAAAATCCCGATCATCTCTGAGATCCAACCAAAAGCAGCTGATCTGATGATCTCAGCGCCCGAGAAGGAACAGAAGATTGATTAGGCTGAAGCGACTTGAGGGTTTGAGGTCATTTAGGCATTTATAGGTCAACAGGAGAACTTTAAAATCTATTATGATGCACGGGGAGCCAGTGAAGGGAGGCTAAAACTGGTGAAATGTGCTCAAACCTACAAATTCTTGTTAAGAGCCGAGCTGCAGCATTTTGAACAAGTGGAGACATGAAAGGGACACCTGACTGACCCAACAAAGTGTGTTACAGTGGTCTAGTCAGGCTGTAATGAAGACAACACTGACTATCTTAACTATCTGCCTTAACTGGAAGAAGCTTTTCTTCAAAACAGAGTTAATCTGTTTATTAAACTCAAACTCAGAGTCTAAAATCATTCCCAGATTTGTAACAGATTGCTTAATATGTGGCTCACTGGAAGAGTGCCAGCAGTAGAACCAGCAGCTGAACACAATAACTTCAGTTTCTTGCCATTAAAACTTAAAAATAAATTAAGTCATCCATGCCTTAATGTCATCAAGAAATTTTAACAGAGGGTGGATGGAACAAGAATTATTCTTAGGTTTTAATGGCAGATATATAAATAAACTTAATTGAATTGTATAGATAAATCTGACTATCATCAATGAAAAGAAAGACCGTGTTTCTTCAGAACAGACCCCAAAAGGAGCAGATACAATAAAAACAGAAGGGGTCCAAGAATCAAGCCCTGCGGAACCCCGCAGGAAAGAGGCGCTGATGCAGATAAAATATTACCAACATGAACACAAACGCGCCTGTCACTCAGATAAGAACAGAACTAATTTAATACTGCTCTTGTAATCCACCTGTGATATAAGGATACTGTGGCCAAGCAGCAGTGAGGTCCAAGAGTACAAGGATCACAAACTGACCAGAGGCATTTGCTAAAATAAAAAACTGTTACAAACCCTAAAGCTGTTTCAGTGCTGTGTGAGTAACCAGACTGAATTATCTCAAAAATGTCCATTCTCATTCAAAAACACATTTAATTGAATAAAAACTATTTTCTCCAAGATTTTACAAAGAAAAGGGAAGTTTTGAGATTAGTCTGAAATGTGAACAAACTAAAGGGTCAAGTCCAGGTTTGTAATGAATTGATTTACTACTGCGTGCTTTAAAACACCTGGGTCTACACTTGTAGCAATACTGCTATTTATAATATCAAGAACAGAATCCAGTGGAGCGTAAAACTTCTTTAAAGAACGATGCAGGGATGGAGTCAGCAGGGGAACCTCAGGGTTTCATGAGACCAACAACATCCTTTAAAATGTGAGAGAAATGAGCTCAAACTGATTGGAGACATCTGCGCAGGGAACAAAGACGGAGGGAATCGGTGACCTGGTCGACTCAACCTTTTCAACAAAATATCTGATAAAATCATTACAAGTGTCTGCAGAGGCCTCCATACTGGCAGACTGAGGCACGTTTAAAATACAATTTACTGGTTTTAAACGGAATATGAGGACCGCAACAACTGGAGGCAATAATTTGGGATTTTTTTCTTCTTCAATTTAACAGTGGTTTGATAAAATTTCCAACACATTTTCAACACCATAAATAATATA